TTCCATTTACAGTAATTTTTTCAAAATAGGAAGGTGGGGCAAACTCCCATAGAAAAAAAACGCGACACAATAACCCTTCGTAAACTCAGGGCACCCAACTCCTGCAACTGCTGGCCCTATAAAAATAGACCACATATAATGGCGGATATATGTAAGTGCTCCAGTCAGAGACAATTAAATAACCACGCCGGATACCTAATAGCTAGTTCTATATGAACAATGATTTGTGTGCTTGCACCTAACGGCATATTAAGTATCTAAAAATGTGTACCTATTGTCTAACGGGGATGAATTAATCTCTTTGGCTGTTTGACCTTATGAGATTGAGGATGAGTTATGTTCGCCCTCCATGATCGCTTCTGTCTGGGCTTGCAACGCTGGTGCATGTTCCGTCGGTATTCGCACTAGAGTCTGCGGTAGAGGTAGAGTATCGTCCTGGGCTTTGGATGTAGTTTCTTCTGCATTTCGTGGACTCGGTATTTTGGCTATGAGATTAGTCAATAAGACGAAATTTCGCATGTTGCTTTATACGTGGATGTAAGAATACCTGAAGCCATGTTGATAGCTCGTAGAACATTATGCCAGTTTCCTAATACCGTCGCAATCGCTGTCACGCCCAATTAGCCAGTCATAGGGGCAAGACATCTATCTGAGTGCGCATACCTTCCGTCCCATCAGATAGAGTAGCAAGTTTTTGTTCGAGAGCTTCCATCTGATTTGCTACAGCTGCGCTAAGTTCCCGCAGCTCCTTTAGATTCTCAAGCTCCGCCTTCTTCTCATTGACTCGGGCGAGAAGTGCGCTTGACTGCCCTGCAGACTGAGCACTGGGATTGCTCGAGGTAGAGGCTTGGCGTATATGGCTAGGTAGCGTGCGCGAAGAAAACGCCATTGTAATAGTGTAATTAGACCTAGATAGCCAAAGTCTTATATGAACCTGTCGGTGGTATCTTTCTAAAATACCTAGCTTTACTGTGTATAGTCGACAGATAGGTGGGGGGGAACTCGAGTACGTCCTATGGCAATCTATAATCCAAGGAATTGAAGAGTAAATACAATGAATTCAGATAACAAGCATAAAGGCACGTAACCCGGGAGCGTAGATTGGCAGATGAGATGTTGAGTTGTTCAGCTCGAAAGTAGCTACTTTCGTTATCCAATGTTCTGTTCGAATGCTTAATTGCGACGTGCACGTTTGCATGTGTAAACGGCAGAATGGCAAGTAGGTATTATCGATAAGTTGGCAAGTGGCAGATTGGGTACATATGCTTTAGTGTGTGACGTGAATATGTGGATACTACCATAGGTAACCCCTGTATAAAACTGCTGGTCATAATTGTGCGTTGCTATACCCCATTCGGAAGTTTGTTGACATGCACTGTGGAGCCAGCTACCTTGCCAACTCATTTCCTCGACCAAAACTTTGATTTTCTTTCACCGCACCTCAAACAGCAACTATTGTCTTGCATACTGTTGCTTCCGACAAGTCTTGCCTTATTTGCTACCATCAAGACCCTCCTGCATGGTTACTAGACTTACTAGACTGCTGCTATAAAACTTCAATCATTTCAAATTCCTTCCGCCTCATGTCTTTACAATGGCACGACTCAACGAGCCAATGGTGTCAACAGACAGCGTAGAAACGCGTATGTCCCTAGCTACAGTCTGCACGTCACTGATGATGTCAACTAATACCTTCTGTCATAGTGCGCAGAAAGTTCTTGCGACAAAATAGAGATATCGCCCGAGTAAATTCAACGCAGTCCCTCAAAATACGTACTTTAGAGAATGAATGTGTTCGCCTATTATCCGAAAACCTTGATCTTCGAGGACAAATACTGCGACTCCAAACAGAGTTAGAAGATAGTAGAGCACAGAAGATCGCCAACCATGCCCTCGAGATCAAGGAGAAAATGGAGGCCCAACTGGCAGAATGGGGAACTATGCTTGCGAGTCTGGGGCACGAGCCTACCCCGAGGAGTCGATCACCAAGAGGACCGAAGAGAATAAAACGCAGGTCAAGCATTGGACGTGTCAGCATGTCTGAATGGAGGAGGAGAGATACTGTAAGCTCGATGAAAGACTTGGAGGCTGCCGCCCTTCAAGAAGGCAGGTTAGCGCCCATCTGGGAAAATAAAACGTGTCCCCGCGAAACACTAAAGTAAGTTGTGTCTGTGGAGGTGTAATAGGCAATCCATACTAATTTTTTAGCCGAGAGGAAATTCTCGCGTTGCGCGCCGTCGTTGATGACAATGACGATTCCCCAGATCTTGGACCCCCGCCAGTATCACGTTTTGTCGACGAAGATCCCGTGAAGATTGATTTACCCCCAAGACATAGCCCTTCCAAGTCAGATTACGCGTCTCTAGAGAAGGCATCATCTGATCCACAGCCTAAACAACAATCAACGCCCTCCCCCAAGAAAGATGAAAGAGCAAACGAACCAGTCAACAATATCCCCGAAGTTAATGATGAGCCGATGGAACCAAACGCGATCGATACGGCGGAACCTCAGCCTATTACTCAAGTTGGTAAGGCCAACTTGAAGAGGAAACTGAGAGAAGAGGATGAGAAGGAGGATCCCGTGATATCTAAGCCGCCGACCCGAGCTATTGAGGTTGCAAAGGATCAACCTGAGAAGGCGGCGAACGTCAAACCTCAGTCCATTAACAGGCCGATCAAGCTTCCATCAAATCGGCGAGAGGTTCGAGATAAATCGTCGAGCTCGGTAACTCAGAGAAGGCCTTTGGGTGCCAAAAGCACGAACGAACATATCAAGTCGCCAAAAAAGGCTGCGAAGCCTCCGACTTTAGAAGAGGTTACAAAGGAAGATATTAAGGGAAGAAAGACTATTCCAGTTGAGATACCGGTCCCCGAACCTCAGCCGATATTCGTCGCGCACGTGGAAATCGAGACCGAGACGCTTTCTTCGGAACCCAACTTAGCCGTGCCTGATACTCCGGAGGCAACCCCGAGGGAGGAAGTAAGGGATACACCCCCTCCTACTGATATTTCCTCAAGAGGGGAAACATCACGAGGCAGCCGCAGAGCGAGGACGGCAGTTAGTTATGCTGAGCCAAATCTTCGGGATAAGATGCGGCGGCCTACGAAGCAGCTACTAGACGCTGTGTCAGGCGAAGGCAAACACATACGGCGAACTAGCCAGTCGAAGAAAGAAGATTTCCCTTCGTCGAACCCTTCCTCAGTAGTCAAATCGGAGGAAAAGCTAGGATCATGGAAGGATCTACCTGCCGATCGTAGTATGTCGAGAACGAACCTAGATGTTATGGCTAGTCCCCTGGCACGGAAAGGCTCGAAAGCGTCTTCGGACGACTTGACCATGAGTATAGCAATGGATAAGAAGAAGCGGGCGGATGTTGAATCTTCGTCTTGTTCTAGCGGTGAAAGCAATCCAGCTAAATCGAACTCCCGAACAGGTGGTCGCCGCGTCGACGAGATCGCAGCTCGGGAGGCTGAAGTAGCGAAAATATTTGACGATGAGGCCGACGTTTACGATTTCCCTAGCTTGTCACCGAAAGACGGTTCGAAGCGTACGACAACAACAGAGGAGACTTCCAAGAGGAGAAATACCAAGGGATCTCGACAATCGAGGTCAAGGCGATTATCATCAGTGGCTCGTGAAGACTTGGAACTAGATGCAGAGAGCCAGAATCACGAGAAGGCACCGAGAAATACGGGATCTAGACGAGCAACCATGGCAGCGTCGAAAGAGTCGAAGATGGATATAGAAAGTGCAGGACATGATAGTTCCGTGGAAGGAGACAGCTTGAACAGCTCCTCTTCTGGAGATGTGGACGCATCCGTACGGGACAGGGCCTCAATGAGGCGGAGGAGTATGATGTTATGAGAAAAAAAAACAAGCCCTGCTGCACTATGATGATGATTCGTACGGTCGTTTAAGCGAAGTTCTCTGCTTAGGGGTTGGGTTTAAATATCGATTAAGTAATCATAACTGAAGCGAGCGTTGAGACTCTCTTCATCTCATATTTCTTTTCATGGCGTTTGGAGTGCAGACAGACAGACGGACTCAGTGTACTCAGGATACCAATCAAGTCTTTTTTTTCTCTCTCGATTCATTCCCAATGGTTGATTGTGATTATATGATTTATCGAGGCTAGTAGAATAGCCTGCTATTAGTTTCATCGTGGGGATACATCTTTGATGCTTGGGGTATTCGTTGATCTAGATATCCATGCATTCCTTTTTAAAGATTACGACGACCCGCCCGCCGTAGGCTCTACTGGTTTTGTGTATGTGACTTTCTCTACCGCGACGTTTTCCACCCCGTTTTCATCTTTGCGGAGCTGGTAGACGTAGAGGGTGAGCGATATACCTTGGACCTGTATTTAGTTGTCAGTGTGTAGTTCAAGGTGAGAGATTCGGCCCCTCTACTACGAGGCACGTATTTTCCTCCCTAGCAGATAACGAGTAGAGAAGAGCTCGGTCACAACTTACGTCCATCAAGCAGAAACTAGGTACCATATCCTCACCCTCCTTCGTCCACCCCGTCGTAAACGCCCCCGTAGCACTGCCCGGGTTCACGAAAAACTTGTCCATATACTCGAAGGCATCGAAGCGGTGGGTTCCGCCCCAACACAGCACATCCACGTCTAACTTATTGGCCTCGGCGAGCAGCAAGTCTGGCTCGGTCGACACTAGCGTAAATCCTTCGATGAACCCGATGCGCAGCGATCCGTGTGTTACGACTTGATATAGCGGTAGCGATGTCGCTTCTACGTCGAAGCGGCCCTTTACGATTTTTAGGTCCGGCGCAATCGAACGCAGGTACTCGTACGTGTGCTTGTCCGTCAGGTTGCCTAGACATAGCGTCTGTCCGATCTTTCCCGGCGAAAGGAGTTTCTTAAACTACGAGGTTGGGAGCGTTAGCACGAGCGGCACCTGGGAGCGAAGGATGGGGAAATAGTTCTGGCCGTCCGTCGCACCTTTTGCGGTATGTCGAGAGCGCGGTCGGGGATGTGGAGATCCCCGATCACCAGGATGAGGAAGGCCATTGGTTACGAATTGATGGAGACCTAGGATCTCCCAGGTATACCGAGACAATTCGGTCTACGGCCGGTCCGAAAGGAAGCAACTTGGGTAGGTTAATCGTACAACGGAAATGTATACGTATGCGCAGGCAACACCGCTACTGCTACTGTTTCGAAGTAGTGCGGTTGGAGAGGACAGCTGGGCCGGGATATTCGCTAGAATTTCGTATATATCTCTTTTATCGTCGGAGACTTGAGGAGAACTACAGGAGCTATATGCTCACATGTCAACAAGATATACGTAAATTAAGTAGTAGTGAAGCTATCCTCAAACCTGCGAGGCTGACGTTGAACTCTCAGGGACGGGAGCTTTGCAGGCCCCGCAATTCAAGCTATTGGTACGTACCCCAGATTGAGGTAAGTTTTAGGTACGAAGTACAATACAGTATCTTATTTTTCGCACTGTCACAGGGAACCTTTAGTTTAGGTAAGCTTACACTAATAAGACGAGATCAACTTCGGACGTAATTGCCGTTGCTCTCTTACGTTCTATGTATTTAATAAGTCGGGTCAATAAAAAGCGGCCGAAGACGGAGGTTATGCATTTCTTAAAACACTGAGTTTGAAGCAGCTAGTTATCCAACTTATTTCATGTCGGGGAATAGCCATGGCTTACTATATGCGATAAGGCCACCCAAACGGACATAGATCATACAAGCAGTGGGGGAGATTCACCCCTAAGAATTAGGCGATTAGCAAATAAAATTCTATAACTGCTTACAAGATTCCCCAACACTTCTTTTTTTAGGTTAGCCTTTTGTAGCTTCTGTCTGTATGTAAGTGAATTTGCAATGCAATAACAGTACTATTTCTTTTCTACAAATCCTGTAGCTCAAGTGGATATTACTTGAGATAATTTACTTCAGGAATTGATATACATTGATATACACGTATAAAGTTCCAAGACAAGATATACACGAGTCAAACTCTGCTAAAACCGCCCTACTTTACAGTAGGTAGGTTTGTTATAGGGGACAAAAACTGGCTTACTCAGTAACGATACGGAAGGCCGCCGGAGCGGTGGTCGGCGACATGCCCCACCGTCTACTCAAGACAGCGACTTCTACTGCTTCCAACCCCGCAGCCCGCGTCTCGATTATATCACGACACTTATTAGGAACTGCTCAATCCCCTGCGAATCCCAGTTTCCCGAGTAATATTTCTCCTCCAGCCCAGAGTCGTAGATTTTCTTCGTCGCCCGCCAAAATGTCATCTCAACCCGAACACCCGACTCTGCTCATCCCGGGTCCCATCGAGTTCGACGATGCCGTATTACAGTCCATGAGCCATTACAGGTTTGTACCAAATAACTACGTGCGGCGCACTCTTATAGCAAGATACTTCTCTAACATACAACTATTAGCGAGTCGCATGTCGGACCGAGTTTCGTTGCTACGTTTGGCGAGGCATTGTCGATGCTGCGTAAGCTCTTCCAGACTACCTCGCCGTCTTCGCAACCTTTCGTCATCTCCGGATCCGGCACGCTTGGTTGGGATCTAGTAGCAGCAAATCTTGTTGAGCCTGGCGAAGACGTCCTAGTTCTCAGCTCCGGTTACTTCAGCGATGGGTTCGCCGACTGTCTTACAGTCTACGGTGCTAAGGTCGATCTTTTGAAAGCCCCCGTCGGCAGTCGGCCGCAATTGCCCGAAATCGAACAGGCATTGAAGAGCAAGAAGTACAAGGTTATCACGGTGACACATGTCGATACATCGACAGGTGTACTGAGCGAACTCCAGAAGCTTTCCGAGACGGTTCAGAGAGTGTCACCTGACACATTACTTATCGTGGACGGTGTATGCAGTGTAGCTAGCGAAGAGATCGATTTCGATGCATGGAAGCTAGACGGTGTAATAACAGCAAGCCAAAAGGCCATCGGCTGCCCCGCGGGCTTGTCCATATCGATGTTCAGCGGTAAGGCGATGGACGCCTTCAAGGCGAGAAAGAGCCCACCGGCATCATACTTTGCTTCGATGAAGAACTGGACGCCCAGTAAGACATAGGTTCCAAGATCCTAGACGGCATCAATGGCTGGCGCTAATCCGTTGTGTATCTAGTTATGCAAAACTACGAAGCAAAGAAGCCTTCGTACTTCGCAACCCCATCACCACAACTTATACACGCCCTCCACACAGCACTAACCCAGATTCTCGCCAAGCCCCTCGCCGAAAGGTTCGCTAGACACCGAGAGGTATCTGACAAGATCAAGAATACCGTGGCAGAGCTGGGTTTAAAACAAGTCGCAGCCAAGCCGGAAGACCAGGCCCACGGTATGACGGCCATCTATCTACCCGAAAATGTCAAGGCCACCGATCTGCTCCCAAAGCTTGCAAATAGTGGCGTTATCTTTGCCGGTGGCATCCATAAAGAAATCGCCCCCAAATATGTACGCTTTGGACACATGGGCGTTAGTGTGGTACGTTTACGCTTTCTTTAGCAGCGACTGAGGGTTATGAAGACTAATCGTGATTAGACCGATCCTGCGAGAAGAGATATTGATAAGGCGTTAACTGCGCTGAAGAGTGGGCTTGCTGACTGTGGGTATCAAAGAGCGTAAAACTCCACGTACGCCGCCCGGGACCGTCTAGGAGGTTCGAGTCCGGTGCGCCAAGGTAATCCGTATTTCCCATGATAACCATTTTCGGAGAAAATGTTGGTCGGTTAGAGGACGGATATTATGTCGTATGCTCCAATTTTGGCCGCATGATTAGAAGAAAAAAACGACACAGTGTAACTATTCCATAAGGAAAGGGCCCGATAGACTAGAGGTTCCACTGCGCGGGGAATGGCAAGAAAAAAAACGTTCGGTTCAAGGAAGCATCGGAGATGGGCTGTGCTCTATTCGGTTGAATTGCATGATTTTTCTTCGGCCACGTCATGTCCTCCTGCCTTATTCTTTGTCCTTTCCGCCTGGTCGTATACATAGGAGGAACTAGAGCCCGCCATTTATCATCAAGAACTTACGTCAAGTTGCTGCAGCATCAGCAGCGAAGTCGGGAAACCGAAAAGTCTGGTTTCTCCCACATGCTGCTTTATGATCTTAAGCAACAAAAGCGGCTATGCTGCGGTGCTTCTATTATTCTCACATGGAGATAGCCTTCCTTTATCTAGAAACAATAAGATGGTAGGCGTAGTTATAAAGTAAATTGGAAAGTTTTGACAATAGCAATAAAAATCCCGGAGGCTCGGGAGTAGTCTTTAAAGCCCGGTACCGTTATCCCGGAACAATGGGTCTCAGTACGTAAGATTAGGTACATAGTACATTATTAAAGCCCATATAATACGCGATTAACTATCAGTGTTTCTTGAGCAACCCGAAAAAACAACGTGTATGTTGGAAACACCTTAGTTACCTAGGTACGCGGAGCAGCTAATAAATAGGTATGGGACGTTATCAATTATCAATAAGGGTGGAGTGTGCACGGCAACAAAATATTTTCATATCCGAAGCAGCGGTGAGCTTCATAAGTAACAATTTCAATTCCCCTCCAAAGCCAAGCCGGACATTTATAATTGTGCAAGCAGGAATTGTCAGCATCTTATCTATTTTGCGTTTGCACTGGTACGAAGGTTATACATAGTATTCGCTACTCATAACAACAACGGCAAGAGATCTTATCATAACCATCTATCCGTATTTACCTTATTTACCTTCACAGGTCGACGTCACAGTCTGTCTCTTATTTGTCCTCGTCCTGCAGCAAAGCAAGACTTGGCCTAACCTCGGGACGCGATACATACCTTGAGTACTAAAGCTTAAAACGTTAAAATTGGAGGGGTAAGTCACTTTGGTTTGGTTGGTAGGTGTGGTTATTTCGGAAGCCTTGTGTTCGCCGACCAATGACATAATTGGAATCCTTAACATCTAATTGGTGCTAACAACGAGTTTCAGCCGCTACCCTGCCTCAGGTACTTCGCAGCCTCTATAAATTTAGGTGCGAGTGAAAGTACAGGGCCACTAATAGTGGGCGCGTAAGGTCTACAAGCCCACGCTCACCTAAGAGCCTTATTACTACGACCTATAATCCGTAGGTACCTACGTACATTTTCTAGCTATGAGGCCAAGCTTCCCTGAACCCCCCCCAAAACCCCAAACCCCACCAACAGAACTGTACGCAGCTGCCGCTATCATCTCAGAGACCCGTCACCTTTGGTGCCTCTTCGAATTCTATTGATACCTTTTTTTACAACTCATCCGACACTTCCTTACTTCTCTCTATCTACCAAACTTTTCTCTACCACTGATACCATTTGTAACCAGCTTTCATTGACAACCTGCGCACGCCGTTATTAAAACCTTTAACGTCATCATCAACTGTCTTTATTCCGACACACGGTTAAAGCGAGGCGCGCAGCCTACCTCGTCTTTTCCCCGCCACCACATTCAAGATGGCGCCCACAATCGAACAGCTAGACCTCATGGTCCAGTCGTTCTATGAAGGTCGCGGTGAACAGGTTAGCTTTATCCTTTTAACCTTTCATTTACCTCTCTCGCGTAAATATATATTCTCGAAGCCAAGCTACTAACACTTACGTTTTCCCCACCTTCAGCAAAAAGCTGCCCAAACCGAGCTCAACCAGGTACGTGATGCGCCGACATACCTCTTACACCCTTCTACCAAAACTAATATACATAATTTGCAGTTCAAGGAAGATCCTGATGCGTGGCTACTCGTGGATAAGCTCCTTGCCGAGTCGAAACACCCGCAAACAAAGTGTACGCCGCACTAGTCCCCGCGATATGGAAGGTATTGGCACAGGGCTGACGGGTTGCAGATCTTGGACTTCAGATATTGGACAACGTTATCATGACCAGATGGAAGGTTTTACCCCGAGAACAATGTCTAGGTTCGTCGCTTCATCTGGGTAGCAGTACTAGTATAGACCTTCTGAGCTAACGCGCGGCGCAGGAATTCGCAACTTTGTGGTGAACTTCATCCTCCAGGCATCTAGCACAGAAGAGTCGCTCAGGACTCAGCGCACTCTCTTGAACAAGCTGAATTTAGTTCTCGTCTCCATTCTAAAGCAAGAATGGCCTCATAACTGGCCAACCTTCATCAACGAGATCATCTCATCCTGCCGATCGAACTTATCCATCTGCGAGAACAATATGATCATTCTCCGCCTTCTCTCTGAAGAGGTTTTCGACTACTCAGCCGAACAGATGACTTCGGCTAAGACTAGAAACCTGAAAACTACCATGTGCAACGAGTTTTCACAAATCTTCCAGCTATGCCAGGAGATTCTTACCACAGCAAATCAGGCAAGCTTGGTGAAAGCTACTTTAGAGACACTGCTCCGGTTTTGCAACTGGATTCCTCTAGGATACATTTTCGAGACGCCGCTTATCGAGACGTTACGCACACGATTCCTCGAAGTCCCCGAATTCCGTAACGTCACTCTGCAAGTGCTTACCGAGATTGGTGGACTGGTAACTGGTGGACCGGGACAGCCGAATGCATATAGCGAACAACTAGTCAAGATGTTTGTTGATGTTTTGACGACTATTGCTACCATCGTTCCCTTGGATCTCGACCTAAAGAGCACATACCCTCAGAGTAATTCCAAGGATCAGGAGTTTCTCCAAGAATTGGCACTCTTCCTGTGCAACTTCTTTGGCCAGCATGTTGATGTAGGTCTATTTCTGGAATAGTTGTAATAGTCGCTAACTTTACGATCAGCTTGTTGAGAATCTCCCCAACCGAGACTTCCTCACGCATGGTCATTTCTACCTTATTCGCATCTCACAAATCGAGGACCGTGAGATCTTTAAGATTTGTCTAGACTATTGGCTCAAACTAGTACAGGAGCTATACGATGAAATGCAAACCGCACCCCTCCAGGAGGTCAACCCCCTTATGATGGGAAGCAGCTCCGCTACCGGCGCCGTAAATCCGAGCATATTGGCGAATTTCCCCTTGAGAATGCACAAGTATAAGGAGGTCCTATCCAATCTCCGAGTGGTTATGATTGAAAAGATGGTCCGTCCCGAAGAAGTTCTTATCGTCGAAAACGACGAAGGTGAAATCGTACGCGAGTTTGTCAAGGAAAGCGATACGGTGCAGCTCTACAAAACCATTAGGGAATGCCTCGTCTACCTGACACATCTTGATGTCGTGGATACGGAAACGATCATGACCGAAAAGCTACAGAAACAGGTTGACGGCACTGAGTGGTCATGGCACAACTGCAATGTTTTATGTTGGGCCATCGGATCCATTTCACTCGCAATGAACGAAGAGACCGAGAAGCGATTCCTCGTCACGGTTATTAAGGACCTCCTTGGACTGACAGAAATGAAGCGCGGTAAAGATAACAAGGCTGTCGTAGCCAGTAATATCATGTACATTGTCGGACAGTACCCTCGGTTCTTAAAGGCCCATTGGAAGTTCCTTAAGACGGTTGTCAATAAACTTTTCGAATTCATGCACGAGTCACACGAAGGTTTGTTACTCAATTTCGATACTCTGGAGCAGCAGCTAATTATATTACAGGTGTGCAAGATATGGCATGTGATACTTTTATTAAGATTGCGAGACAGTGCCGCCGACATTTCGTTGCCTTACAGCCTAGTGAGAGTGAACCGTTCATCGAGGAGATTATCCGGAACCTACAGCGTATTACATGCGATCTAACGCCCCAGCAAGTGCACACATTTTACGAGGCTTGCGGATATATGGTTGCCGCCCAGGGTAACAAGCACCAGCAGGAACGATTGCTTGCAGAGCTCATGAACGCACCTAACGCAGCCTGGGACGAGATCATCAGAGCGGCTACTCAGGACCCTCAGATTTTGCAGGATTCGGATACAATCAAAATCATCGGGAACATTATGAAGACTAATGTGTCGGCTTGCTCTTCTATCGGCCCTTACTTCGGCCCGCAGATTGGTAGAATATACCTAGATATGCTACAAATGTATCGTGCTACTAGCCAGCTGATTTCAGAGGCTATTGCCCGTGATGGTAATTTTGCAATGCCCATCCCCTCTTGGCGATATGAACTAACATCCCAAAACAGGTGAAATTGCTCCCCGCATGCCCAAAGTCCGAGGATTGAGAACCATCAAGAAAGAAATTTTGAAGTTAATTGAGAGCTACGTTGACAAGGCAGAGGACCTTCCTGCTATTCGTCAGCAGATGGTGCCGCAACTTCTCGACTCCGTATTGGTAGATTACAACCGCAACGTCCCGGGAGCCCGAGACGCGGAGGTCCTAAAAGCCATGTCTACCATCATCACAAGACTTACAGTAAGCAGGCCTAAATAAGCTACCAGTTATGAAATGTTGCTAACCGTATATAACAGGGCCTTATGGAAGATCAAGTGCCAATCATCATGCAAAATGTTTTCGAGTGCACTCTTGAAATGATCAACAAGGACTTCTCAGAGTTCCCTGAGCACCGAGTTGAATTCTTCAACTTGCTCAGAGCTATTAACCTACACTGCTTCCCTGCTCTGCTAAAGCTGGATAATCGACAGTTCAAGTTCGTCATCGACGCTTGCATGTGGGCCAGCAAGCACGACAACCGTGACGTTGAAAGTGCGGGACTTAACATGTGCCTAGAGCTTGTTACAAATATTGCGGATAAAACCGATGTGCAAACAGCCAATGCCTTCTTCCAGCAATTTTTCATTGGTATCCTGCAGGATGTATTCTTCGTCTTGACAGATCCTGACCACAAAGCTGGGTTCAAGACGCAGTCTATGTTGCTGATGCGCATGTTCTACTTCGTACTCCCGGCAGACGGTACTACTCCAAAGATCCAGGGACCTGTTTACACAGATCAGGCACCACCCGGCACCAGCAATAAGGATTTCCTCACCGAATTTGTTGGCGGTCTCCTACGCAATGCATTCCCCAATCTTCAAATGTAAGTTGTCACCCTACAATATAACGTGGATACCACAAGAGCTAACTAGGTCTCCAGTGCACAAATCGGTGCATTTATTGAATGTCTTTACACCCTGAACGCATCGTACGAGAAGTTCCGCCTCCAAGTCCGAGACTTCCTCATCTCCCTAAAGGAGTTCGCCGGCGACAATGCAGACCTCTTCGTCGTTGAGAAGGAGCAAGAGGCTCGTGAGAAACTGACAGCCGACCACGAGCGACGAGCCAAGGTCGGCGGCTTATTAAAACCGTCCGAGATCGAAGCGGAGGATGACGAGCTATGACTGCGCCAGGAGTTCAGAAATGAATTCGCTCCTCGTCATGATTCGAGCATAGTTGATATCCCCGGACGGACCTCGGTCGACCATTTTGATGGATGGGACGTCTACGGGCTTTGAGAGCCTGGTGGCAACCCCCGAATAGGATGAAGGGGCATTTACTTTATAACTTTTGGCCACGTCTCTCCTAGTGCCTCTTCTCTATTCTCTTGTATGTGATACCATAATAGAACTGCCGTGGTCGGTAACTGCAACTACTGTTTGACTGCCACATAGCTGCGCAGTCAGACGAGGTTAGTAGTCCAGTTACACTCCCACACTCAGGCATAGGAAAACGACGAAGGCATGATAGCCAGGACATAAAGGAAAAAACGGTGATCCCCTCCGTGATCAACTTGGCGGAAGGTGAACAGAAAAAAAAGGAGCGATGGTAGGGAGGAACAAATGCATATATTTTTGGTTTCCCAAGGGCGTACCTACGTCGGCGAGATATGCGGTTGTTGCTGCTAGGAAATAGGGCGGTCCAGTTGTTATGCTGCCGAAATGAGAGGCTGAAGGAGAGGAAAGGGGGATAGACCACTGTTCCGTTTATATCCCCGGACGCGATCTCTTCTCGTTGTTACCTTAGGTAGATAGTCATTGCTGAATGGATGGCATTAATCCCCGGACGAACGTTACTTTGGAAATGCGAGTTTTTATTGCCTTTTTTTAAGATGCTATGATATAGATTGCTGCTATGTAAAATAGATGTCTTTATCTCTATCTTCAGGGGTGACTAGGTGGTAATTATTGTGCAAGTAATCTCGAGTCTCTAGGATGGCATATCTAATTACATGTACGTACCCTCCGGCGAGATACGTGACGTTCTAACCAGAGCTGACAGAGAAGTAGTATGGTCCCCTCTAAGAAGTAATACCTAGTAGGCATCTTAAGAACTCATGCTCATTGGCGTAACTACCTCAGGTACCTACCTAAGGTATCCATTGCTCTAGGGTATCATCCGCCTGGCTTTCACAGGGCTACATAAACAACAGACCAGGCGGAAGGCTTCCTATCCAGTGAGCTAGCGGGGGCTACGTTAATTAAATTAGTGAAAAACTTGAGCTCGTCTATTCATTCATTCACATGTCTGGATCAAGATGACCGTTTTGGCCTGTCTAATAGAACTCCCGCGGGAAGCGCGATAGGCGCCATATGCCTAGAAGAGGCGATGGGGCTTAGCATAGAAGAGAGAACCAAGGGAGACAGCAGTAGGGCATGCGAATAAGATGGTATAGTTAGGATTTAAAGAGTCGAGTCCCTAAGAGAACATTTCCAAGGTTAACCAATCTCCCACACATATTCAACTGTGGCAATTTCGAGACTTACATACGGTACTCGAGTCTTCTGGTTCTGACTCGTCTTATTGCATTTGGTAGAATTAGGTAAATACCTAGTCTACCAGATCGTATATACATCGTCCATCTATCTATCTACTCCTCTTTGGCCTTTCTCGCCTCCCCGTACTCAGCACCGGGCGTGAGACTAGAAAAGTCCAGTCTACTCGACAAACCCCAAAGGGTGCCTCCGCAACCAGGTTTCCCCATCTCATCCGTCGACCCCCGGCGCTACTAGCTAGCTAGCAGGCATAGCTAGCGAAGCTGGGCATCTATCGACGATGTAATGTAGTGTCATGTCAGGCACGGTAAGGCAGGGTAAGATAAGGTTGAATGAAGGACAGACAGACAGATGGAGGCGAAAGAGCACATGGGACCACGATGTAAGACCACGTATTTGACTTGACCCCCAGTCGTATCCATCGCCGCGTATCGTATATAATACGTGTCCGCGCGAAACACCCTGTCCGTCTGCCAGTCCGTCCCGTCGGGCAGCTCGCGCCAAAAAAGAAAAAGGGCAAAAAAAAAAAAGAAAGAAGATGGGCCATTCGCCTGTTTTCCGCCAACACATTAGTCCCCATTCCATCCATTCTCCAATTCCAATTCCGCTTCCGCGAGCGCCGAGGATAACTTAACTCAACTCGACCTAACCTAACCTTGGATACTGGCTAGATAGGTAGGTAGATGATCACTCACTCCCGACGGGTCGAAATAAGCTAGCAAATAAAAGCACATGGGAATAGCCGCACGAGCCGTCCGTCCCTATTGGTTCTCTATAAGGTACCTAAGGTAGGTTAGTTACTCGACGCTTAACAGCGAGCGGCTATTAGTGTATACCTGCCAGGTATGTATGTATGTATGGGTTAGGTTAGGTAGTTGTATTGAATTGAACTATTGATTCGACCAAACTAACTAGGTAACAGCTAACTAACTAACTAATCTAGCTTCTCATACATCGGCGCCGCACCGGCAAGGGGGAGCGAATAGCTAGCGCGCGTCTTATGTATGTATTCCCGCCCGACGGGGGCCCGGCCGATTCCGACATGGGACTAAGGCGGGGGAGTCCGGGAGGATCGCTAGGGGAGAGTGTGATTGAATAAAGGTGCTCTGTTGGATAACTTGACTATTCGCTCAGAGTATAGGTAGGTAGTTAATTCGAGATGTCATCACGTAGTACTTGAGACTTCAAATTCTCGTGTCATTTATCTTGGAAGAGCTATTGATAAACACTGATGATTGGTCTCTATGCGTTATCTATCTACCTACGTATATCACGCCCTTTTATGCGTTGTCTACCTAGGTATATCACGCCCTTTATGCGGGGGAAGAGCCGTGTCCCGGCCGTCTACTCCACACGAAACTGCACCTTATTAGGCCCAGTCGGCGAACCTATACGCCCGCGATATCTTCTACTGTTCACCACGGTTAGACTAGTCAACGTTTAATGCTAGTTAAGCATAAGTCATACTTGGAATTATTGAACCTACTTACTGCCTGCCCTAGCTACCTAACCTAGCCAAGGCACTTGGAAGAAGAAGAAGAAGAAGATATTCATAGACATCAAGACGTCATGGCCCCCTCAGCTATCACAGAGACCCTCTCAAGCTCAAGCACCTTGACTCCCAAGGGTGGAGATAGGCCGACAGAGGCAATCAAACATGACGCCATCGAAGGCAAGGAGAAGACTCCTCTAGAGGCCATCTCGCACGGCATGGTGATGCCAGGCATTCCCACATTCCCAACCTACACAGCGCACAGGAGGCACATCCTTGTGCACATGTCCGCCACATTCCGCTTCTTCGCGCGATCCGGCTTCACCGAAGGGCAGGCAGGGTAAGTTGACTGACTATCATAACCATAATCATCATAATCATCATCACATAACCCTTCCCTGTCGTCATCGAACCCGCAGTTCTTTTTTTTTTTTTCTTCAGGGATGAGCTCGAGGCTCTCCACTTGGGCTCTTGTCGTGACAGCCCAATCTCCAAATCCCTTTCCCCTCGCATAGCTAGCTAAGCTAACTAGCTGATCCCGCGGCTCTAGGCACATCTCAGTGCGAGACCCAGAGTTCAACGGCCTCATGTGGATGAATCCCCTAGGTCGACACTTCGGCATGCTGACGGCAGGCGACATGATATGTCTAGACATCGCGACCGGCAAGGTCGTCGGCGGCAACACGTCCCGGCCCGCCAACGCCGCAGGTTACCTGATCCACTCCGCCGTCCACAAGCGGCGTCCGAACGACGTCCACGCCATGTAAGTGCTTTCTCTCGTTCCCCTCCCCCCCTTTCCTTCCGCAGGACCACGTGGGTTCCTTCGCCGTAAAGAGGAAGAAAAAAAAATATATATATGCACGCCTAGACGCAGAAGTGAGGCGTCCTATCTATGTATCTCCCCGGCAAGGTGAGATAAGAGAAAAAAAAAAAAAAAAAAAAAAAGAACACACTAACCAATATTGAGAAAAACCCCGGTCGAGAATCTCATCTAATCTCATCTTATCTCATATCCCATAAGCGGAAAAAAAAGTATAAAACGAAAAATAACACTAAAAATGGGAAAAGACATTCGTGAATATGTAGAAAAGTGAGGCTAACCAATCTTTGCCCGAAACAGCTGCCACGCACACTCCAACGCAGGCCGGGCCTGGAGCGTATTCGCTCGTCCCCTGGAAATGCTGAACCAAGGTACGTGGAAACAGGCCACACGACAAGCCTTACTTACACTACACTACACTTACTTACCTCTTTTTCCGCCCACTCCACACTCCCTCCACTCTCTGTCCCAACTCAGCCTACGTATGTTATGTTGTGTTCATTTCAAACCCTCCAACCCCCCCCCTAAAAAAGGCATACCGGGGCGGGAAGGAAAAGAAGGGTTTAGCTCGCTGAGCGGAGGAGGAGCCCCGTCCATTCCATTCCATCCCCTAGTTAGTCCCTCCCCACGCTTCACACCGTAGCCAAATCAGGCCACAATACGAATACATACATAATGATAATAACAATAATGTCCGCGCGCTAACTCCGCGCCTCCTGAACGCCCGCAGACGTGTGTAACTTCTACGACGCCCACGCCGTGTACGCCCGCTACGGGGGCATCGTGTTCGCGGCCGAGGAAGGCTCGCACATCGCCGCCGCGCTAGGCCACCGCAACAAAGGCGTCATCCTCATGAACCACGGCCTGCTGACCGTCGGCTCCACCGTCGACGAGGCCGGCTTCCTGTTCGGCCTGCTGGACCGCGCCTGCGCCATCCAGCTACAGGTCGAAGCAGCCGCCGCCGCCGGCATCCCCAAGCACGTCATCAGCGACGACGAGGCCGCCTACAACTTCAAGATGGCGAGCGAGCCCAACGCCCTGTACCGCGAGGCCCAGCCCGACGTCGAGTACGAGCTCGAGGCGGCGGGCGGCGAGGACGCCCTGGCCAGGGGCTTCGAGAACCTGCGGGTGGCGCCGTAAAGGTTTTCGGTCTGGAGCGCTGCGAGATCGTACGTTGAAAAAAAATTTAAAATAAAATAAAATAAGTTGTGACCCGCCGTCGGCGATAACCTAGTGTACCTAGTGTAGATGACACCTATTGTATCTGCCGATATCTACATTGCAGCTGCGAACGGTGATAGGCGCGGACATGAGTTTGTGCTCGCTAACCCAACCATGAAAAGGTAGGGGTGTAGGTAAGGGGGGATAATAAATTGAACAAGCTCGGCTAAGGGCAAGTATCCATTCGACCCTTGACGCGTTACGGCGCTTCGTGGGGGACATGTAACTCTTACGGGACTGGGTGAACGTATGTAGGATCGTACATAACACGTACATACATACATACATAATATACCCTGCATACATACCTACCTACCTACCTACATGAACATACTCATGTGAGAAAGAAGAAGTATAAAAAACCTTGGAACCGAACCCCATGATATGATCCAGACGGGGGGTGGTGGTGGGGAGAATAGGAAGAACAATAGTGTAATAATGCAAGGAATAGTTAAAGACGAACAAGAAAATAAAAAGTTCCTTAATTCGCTACTACGCTACCGCTGATGGTGGTGAAAAAATGTGAAAAATGTTATGTTAGGGCCGTAAAAGGTCTAGCGCTGGAACGGGGAGATGACGGGAGCATCCCGCAAGATGTCAGTCCAGTCAGGGACGGCCCGCATTTTACGCAGGCTTCGAACAGGGGAACAGGGGGGGTATATGAGATGAACCGTAAGCATAAGCATCAAATCGCCCGATGGAAGATCGAAAGGCAAGTCATCGAGGGGGGGGAGGGGGCCATGAATCCTGCATCGTAGTGTATGTACAATACATACGGGCCGGCCAGTCGGACAGGCCAAACATTGTGTTAATTTATGATTTTATGTATCATCAGCCCGTCTATGATAGATAGATAGCCTCCTTCCTCTCTGGCCGAGATGAAAAGGAAAAAAATTTCCCGGTTGTATTATAGATCGAGTCACCTTGGGGGCCATTATTTTAATGCCGATGTTTCACCCGCTAATGAGATGTGAGATATGAGATTATACAATACCGGGCAAGGTGCTTACCGAGTATAGGAGGTATGTAGTGTAGTGTAGTGTAGTGTAGTGTAGGGCATACCTATTGTAGGGCTACCCAGACTTTTGTCCTCTGTGCAACACCTTTTTTTACACATAGTTATATTGAAAATGTGACGCCTTTAGATAACGGGCTTGCTTCGGGGATGCAACCAACGTCTGTTCTCGACCCTCGAAATCTGCAATCTTGCCTGCAGTAATGCGATCCCGTAATAGCAACCAGAGATGCGTCCCTGCAACGAACCATCCGGGCGAGATCCGCACCAAGATCAATACGACGAACCATCCATAACGACCCTTAACCCTTAACAGTACCCGGTCATAACTCCTTTGCATAGCATATCCAATTTAAGAGGCTAACCTCAGGTCTTGTAAAGTCTTACCATTACCATTTCGTGTTGGGATAGAGACAAGGCTCGTGCGGTCACTTCCCCCTTTTAGAAATAAGCACATTATCTGAGCGCCTATCTGATTGCGTGCAGAAATTTCAAGCCCTGGATGTCGTACCTGACAGATCAACAAGCCTTTCCCGTATGCATGTATGTATTGTACCAATAGTACCAATACATATAGTACCTACCAACGCTCATCTGTCGGTCCTCGGTCGTCCGTATATTGACCGGATGACCACCCACATATGTATAATGTAGGCAGTAAACAATGACTTAAGATTCAACATGCTATGAAATCGTCGCACGGCAGTGATAAAAACAACCTCGGTCCATCCTGCAGCAGCAAGACGCTCGGCCTCGAACAACGCAAAGCAAAGCAAAGCACATGGCTACTACCTAAAGCGAAGCCCCGATATCCGATGACACAGTTTGAATACCTACACGATAAGCTGTTGGCTTCTCAGCTTCTGTAGTAATACCACCCATACCGTTATGCCGAACGAGACGGTGTGGCTGCAGCCATATCAAGCCATTTCTTGTTTAGCGTAGTCCGAGATCGGGCCAGGGTGCGGCTCTAAGTGACTATCCCGACGAGACACATCTCGTAGATACTGTATGTAAGACTCGGATTTTGGCTGATTAGCTTCCCTGGTCCAGGTGTACGTGTAAAGGATCTAGGCTTCGTCAGCATTGCCATGGTGCATCATCATCATATACAAGCTCGGCACTGGGATTCGCAACGCAATAAAATTTGCGTTCAATGTTCCGGCGTCCCGATGGAGGAGTAAGCCATTATCCAGTTTCGGTGAAATCGACATCAAATATGCCTCGTTGAAAGTCTATACACGCTACAAACCCGCCCAAGAAAACTGTAGCGAGCGTAGATCGACGGAACCTACCAAATGAATCATTCCGGCGTGAACTCATATTCAACTCAACTTCTCATTAGATCAATATTCGACTCGAATACCAATGTGCTTAGTGAGGTTAGCCATAAGACTAGGTACTGAGAACCATCATACGTCAACGAGCACTTAGGTAACAGGGTCCTCGTATGACGGCGTAGACCAGCCATCAAGTCAATCGAAGTGGAAAGAATTCCAGACGTGGATCATCTGTCGTAGAACTGTAATATCCGTTTCTCCCTATGACAACCCAAAGTCCCAGGTAGCGATATATTTGTTTGGAAGTGCGTCAGTGACACTGTGAATGCATTCCAAGGAGGAGATAAGCCAAGACGAAAACCCAACCCGTGGAATGGAGCAGACGAGCGGATGGAGCTTCTCGAAATTTCCCAATTGCGTGGGACCTGGATTTTAAGACTCGCTATTCAAGCCAAGACTGAGTCATCTTCTGTGGATCTAGCGGAGCTGTAGAGGATCCTCTTCTCTCCCGAAAACTAACTAATACTGAGTATGATGTAAAGTATCGTGGTTCTGGAGTCTGGACGGAGCCCAACATGTCTCGTACCGTGGCTCCCATCGCCGATACACAATGTATGACGGGTCACATACACTAGGTAACCCAAGCGGAGAATTAATCACGATTTGAGACTGTTTACGTGGAACGACTAGGAACCGATCCGATTGAATATGCCCTTCTTCCTTTACCTAAGAAAGGCTCTAAAGACCTTGTGTATTACCCTCACGGCAACGGCTGTGACTAAAGACGATCCTAGGAAGGACTAGACCAGTATTAGGTGACGCCTCATCAGTCGAGTCGGGTGTATAAGAAGCACAAGACATGTGTTAATAGCATCGGGACCTTCCGCCATTGGTACGGTTCAGGAACACATGCGACCAAGATCGCGGAGTGCCCATCTTGTCTCCTCCAACGTTGTTCCGATGCAGGGAATGAAACAAGTTCCACGCTAGAAGAATCCGTAGAAGGAACACAAGCGAATGAGACGCGCCGACGAGAAACTAGCCCGGCATATTTCAATTGTGTGCCGGAGTCCGGGACCCGCATCGCTTTTTCGAAAAGGAAGTTAACCTAGTCAGATGGAGAAAAGCCCGCTGAAACGTGGCATAACAGAAACCCTAAGAAACGTGCCTTGGACCTGATAGTGCCAAGGTTTAAGGCAGAGAGAGAATGGGAGGACCTGAACCCGTAAGACTACACTAACGATTTGAAGCCCGGTTTCGGTGGGTTCTCCTAGACGTCCGGTAATCTCCATATGGGCTGACACGTCGACGCCATGGATTGGCCCCCCTCCGACAAAGGGCACTTAGTGTACGGCTTCAGGAATCTTGGACTCGGTAGCCCGCGAAGAAACAGTGGGTTTCTTCTCCTTATCTCCTTATGCTGCTGACTGCTCTGCTGCTGCTGTGGGAACGCCCCCGCAACCTAGCACAAACCGACAGGCCCCATGGATCCCATGGATATGCACATGTCAGGTCGGACGGGCCACGGAAGACAATGCCGGGACGGGAAGGCAAGGGAAGAGGGATCAAGATCTCACGAACACATACATACATACATACATACATACATCTCAAAATGGTAGGCTGGGTGAGTACGGGATACGCCTCAAAGAGCTCCAATTGAAGATGACGGGTTCGGCTGGGTGGAAGATTCTATGTAACGCTAGAAACGGGTGTCCTTGTCCCCTTGTCCTCGACGTCGTAGCATTGAGAAAAAAAAAATTGATATATCGGTTCCCAATTTTCATAGGCTCCGTTGTCTTGGATTGCACGTCTCTTGAGAGAAGAATTAGATGGAATGTTTCTAAGGTTGCCGTGCTGTATCACCATTCGCGCTAACGGCACTTGGGATATTGACATGCCAGGAACATGGTTGGATAGACGTTTGGAAATATCCCGAGAAGCCATGGATGGTCCTTGCTCTAGCGAAGTAGGTACCTCACATAAGTACCTACGTACATTAGTATCCATAACTACACTAGAGGCTAGCCTAAATGGTGAAACTTCAATGGGAAAAGCGTTTCCCTCCTTCTTCAATATACGCACAGCTTACCTATATAGGCACTTTGCGAAATGCTAGGCGGGATAGTGCCATAACCAGCGAATGAGAGGGAGAGGTACCGCTTCCGGCAAACTAGCTGAGCAGGTACACGTAGGTGAATAGTGGAGCATCAGGCTATTAATTTATGCATGTACAATACCATGGCCAGTAAGAGGAGCACGAACTTTCACCATGGACTCTGGAGATGAACAAGGACGAGGCCAGCTTACCTAAACTTATTACTGTATTTAGGTATGTAGGTACGTACCTAATGTTGTTATTATTGGAATTTCCCCTTAACTCTAACGATAAGCATCCCGCGCAAGGTTTTTTTATTTTTTATATTGCGTTGTATCTATCTGGTTGATTGATGTTTGGATGAATCTTGTGGGGGGCAGCCCTCTCATCTCGGTACTTCGTCCGCGTGCAAATTTGGTAACGAGGCAAGTTTAATCAAAAGAAATAGGTCTAGAGGTCTTCCGTCTCGGTTCGATCGATGCGTTGTGTACCTAGGTATCAGCTTTTTGCATAGGTAGACGGGTGTCTCTGCAAGCCGAGATGAAACATAGTACGCAAAACAACTCGAGATGCATAAAAGTGTATGTATCGATCAATCAATTGTTAGAGTCTAAGTGTCATGTCTACGGGTGGGACTAACAGCAAGCCTTCGTACACTACGAGTTCTAGTCTCTAACGTCGACGTCATATCCCATATGTGGTTCGTCCTCACGAGAGCAATAATCTATCTAAACGTAGTCTCTCCGCCTTAGCCGCAAAGACCTTTGCATACATATCATCGATCCGTAGGTACTGATCAATAGCGGCATCTTATTACTATTAATATGGGATTGATTGGTGTTGTATACATATAAGCTTACCAAACGAAACCCACGTTTTTATGCAGTGCTAACACTATGTAAAGGACTTCTCTTTTACTATGGATCGAGGCTGAGTGAAAATTTTTCATTCTCTCTTATGCCTGAAACAGGCCATCATACTTTCATGCCGCCTTTGAGGAAACAAGCGAGGCCGAATAGAAACACGCCCTCGAGTTTAGTTGCCCGGCGCATGAGAGACAAAAATTGCAAGACAGTCCCAAGTTCTACACACAGTCCTAGGTAGCGAGTCTTGCTGCTTGTAGATTACCCGGTCTGGAACGTCTGTGGCATTTCCAATCTTTCGATATTTAGTCATTGTCCTACCGGAGAATGTCCCAACACATTATTTTTTTTTGCCTGATGTTACGTACTTCTCAGCCTGCTTAAGAGAGATTTGAAACGGGTTAACAGGTAGGCTGTAGGAAAAGAAGCACAGCAGTAACATAACATATAACAGAGCATCGCAAAGTAGAACACGGGCACTGTCCTTTGGGAGCCGTGCTGTCCGTTCCGTTAGGCGTATTACGAGACATAGGAGTAAGAGAGAAAAAACTCTGTTCAAGTTCCTGCTCGTGCACCTATCACCTCTTCGTTTCGGCTGAGTTTGCATAATATGTAAAAACAGGTTTATGATGTTTTAACGAATGAGGCTGTGTCTAAAATTACACATTTTATGTAATTACCTAGGTAGCTGTATGAGGCCCGCAGAATAACGTCAAAAGGTGGCGCACCTACCAGCTGGATAGGTAATTGTTAGTAGAATGCGCCAGTTACATATTTTGACGCTATTCTGGCTCCCGGGGAATCCCTTGCATACCTAATACATACATCCCATTAAGACTATCCCTAAGCTAGCTTCCCTCATCGTCGAAAGCATAACTTTAATAGGACTCCAAGTGGCCTATTGGGAGGCCGTAAGCTACCAAGTAGCAGCTTCGGGTACCTAACCCCTACGGTAGCGTGAAGTTTAACAGCGAGCGACGGTATGAGGCGATATCTACATATACCTATACAATATGTGCGCGCAGGATGGTTTCGCTAAACATCTAGGTACTTGAATCTTGGTTGGTCCTTATATAGAGATACCCCTTGCTCTAGAATCGTAGCAGGATTAAGTTGACGCCAACCGGCAGATGCTCATTGGATCGATTGTCCGTCCGGCGTCTCGCGCGGGAAAATGGGGTTTCGTTGACGCAACTGGAAATTGGGAAATGGTGCAATTGGCCTCAATGCTGAGCCACTAACATCCATCAAAGGCGGCTCTAAATATTCCTCTCATTAACGACCTGACCCGTGCTGCCCGTGTCTCGCTGGTACAGAAGTTTCAGTTGAGGCTAGGTATCTGTCTGTAGGTAGTAACGTCGACGTAGAACGTTCGTATTAAACCCAGGTAACTAAAGAACTTCACTTGGAATACCTATGTTCGAATCAGTCGGTACGGTGAGTTCATTACTGTAACAGTTCAGTCTGAGACTCCAACGTAGAGTAGAGTTCGGATTCTTTCCGTGCTTACATAGTACAACATTGAAGCCTGCCGTGTATACCACCTATGCTCCTTACATTATTGATACGCATGCCTAAATATCTAAACTCTGTAGCGAAATTTAAATGCAGAAGAGTCCGCTTTCGGCCCCTCTTATGGCCTCATCCTCAGCAGATCCTCGCTTGTGGCTGAAAGGGGCTTTCTAATCATCCCTACTAAACCATCGCACCATTTTTCTCTGGGCAATGCTCCCTCCAAGATAGTCTAAGTCTAATATGTAGTAAATGGCCAAAATTATCCCATGTATGTACATGCGCTAAGGCTTCTCGGCCGGTGCGCGATACGAACACACCCTAGAAGTTGACGTCGCCGTGGGGCTTCGGGCCACTGGCGATCATGTCATATCCTAAGGGGGCTCATCCCTGATTAAGAGAAGCTATTAGGATCAAGTTGGTACTTTGGTATTACCTATGTGAACTTACTACGTACATAGGAGGTACGTAGCAAATTAGGAGTCATAGACTTGTTTTTTGCCCTCTTCTCATCATTTTTCTTTGCTAATATGTATCTACCTATGCATGCCGTTGCTAAGCTAAAATAATAGCTTCATGCATTAGGTTGATGGCGAAAATGGTTTTAAGCTCTTCCGCTACCTCCCCGTCATTAGGGTCATTAGGGGACTAAAAGGTTGGTCTTGGCGATCAGGTGTTGCGCCTCTAGCACGATGAGCTAGACGATCATGTCCGAGCATATCTGGGGAAAAAATGGTGAAATTTAACGACCGCCTGACGCATTCTAAGGAGACCCCACCAATCAAATAATTTTTTTGCGACATCTTAAACCTAATTTAAGAAGTGAAGTAAAAATAAAAAGAATTATGGCGCAATACTGAAAATAATCGACTCTACCCGTAATTACTCGCTGATTTTTTGACCAGCTTGACTATGTAGAATAGATGGGAATTCCCACGTAAGGCATGTTACTCAGCAGCTTGCCTCATTGGGAAGTTTGGTCAATTGAGTAACTCGAAATTTTAGGACAGGTTCAAGTCACTAGATGAACACAGCAGATGAGATTTTATCATATATTTTTTGAGGGGCTTGAACTGGTTTTTTCGATTCTTTTATGAACGAATCTCCTGCGGTCGTGCGTAATAAATGCAGTGCCAGCTAGGAGAGGCAAGCATAGGCTAATCCTAGTTGCCTAAAAACGAGTATCAAGTTCCATCAATCCACGTTGAACATGGATGAGCCTGTGCTTTGGGTTATACCCCAATCACGGCTGCTCTGCCCTATTCTAACGCCCTCGCCGCGAGTCCGACGACTTCCAAAAACATTGTCTGAGCCAGTGTAGTCTAACCGACTGCTGCCAATTCCTGTGCCAGAAACCCCGTTCCCGGCATCCGTGTGCCATGCAAATAGAAACACAAGTGATATCTCAATATTGTATCGTAGTACAACAATGCCCGTCCCTATACCGGTAGCCCCCAATCGTACGCCCGCGGCTCGAAGGAAGTCGAAGGCAGAATCCCGAAATGACCCAAACTTTTTTTATGATGCTGTGCTCCGAAAGATGCTCTTGTACAACAAAGCAACAAATGAGATAGACGTAGCATGATCAACCCATGCCTAGTCGTTATGTCCAAAAGATAAAAGCAATAAGGAAAATGAAGAAAGGAAGGAGTCGTGTGGTAGCTACGTAGAGCCGGTAGTAGTAACATGCTTATTGGGTATTATAAGTGGAGTGTTGGATGGATGGATGTTCATCGAGGGTAGGAAATATCGTCTGTTCGTCTAGCCTACATCTAGTAGGATCGTCGTCGTTGTTGTTGGAGGCGGGCGTGCTCGAAAGAGCTAGCATAGTCCCTCAATTGCTTCTTAGCCTTATCTGATATTTGCGTGCTTTCGGTTCCTGAAGAAGTACTGCGGAGTGAACATAGGCTGCTGTGAGAGCTCGATGGGGTGAGGGCTCGCGTCGAGGACGAAGATGAATCTGAACGTTGGCTTAAGTATGATTGCGGTAGGGGCGTTGAGCCGTAAGGCTGGGCGTTGCTGAAGTCGTAGGCAGGAGGTAAGAAGAACTTGGATTGAGGCCTCGGGGCTGCCCAGTTATAAGAAGACGGGCTGACGAGTCCTGGAGTGCTCGCTGGTGTGCTTGATGTGGAAGATGTCTTCTCGAAGTCAGAAAGCCTGCATGGCTCAGAGCAGTAGGTAGCGCCGTCAGTCTGCCTGTCACAGGCAAGGCAGAACATAGGCTCCCAAGACAGATCGGAAGACATGGTGTACGGTGTGGTTCGGGTTTGTGTGAGTTTCAGTGTTTGGTCGAGGCCAACTTGCTTGACAAGTAGAATAGTATTGTGTAGTATTTACACAAAGCTATCACACATGCCCAAGTCGAAAAAGTCGAAGCGAATCCTTAGGGGAAGCAAATCGGAGCTGTCTGGCGTATGTTCAAGGCGAGACGACGAGACCGGGAGACCTTGGTGGTTTATACTCTTTTTATAAGTTGGTCCAAGATTGTATCATGTTTTGGTCTAGTGTTGCAATATAGCACGCAATAGCGGAGCAGCGAAGGTTGAGAATGGGTTATTGTCGAAGTTAAACGGTAGCTAGTAGTGTAGGAGGCTCGTTGGGAATAAGTTGGAGGAGACGATGTTCATTTGTATGAATCCAACTTACACAGACAGGATGTGGGTACTCAGGTACAAATGACTACTTGGTTGGGATGGGTGCATCGAGAGGTCAGTCACATCAGCAAGCGTTTGGATCAGCAAAGACAGCAGCGACCCACAGAGAGACAAGGGCAATTAGCTCGGTGGGGCCATTTGCAACTTTTGCGCTACAGTACAAGAAGGTAGGGGAAGGTCGAAAGGTCCAGCAGGCTGCACTTATCCTTGCAATGACTTTGCATATGGGCTAGGCCGTGTTAGAGCTAGCGCCAAAACTGCTGCCGATCATCACTGGAGAGCCTAGTCGCAGGTACGGAGGTACAGTGCAGGGGCCTCTTCTGACTGCTCGAAGAGAGAGAAAAAAAATCTGCTGCTGCAAGGTGTGTGTAAGGAAAATTACAAGGGGCGAGAGTTGGAATGGTGAGAGGGGTGTAGGGGGGGAGGGGCGTGTGATCATGACATCTCCATTTTACTTTACGCCACACCCCCCTTGTTCTTGTTCAAGAGACCCCTCTTTCATTGCTCGTTGCACTCTCTTTTTCCTTAACCCTGATGGTTGCTTATTTGATAACTGGTGTTCAGTTTATGCCAAATTATGGACGAATAGTGGAATAGTGGAATATATACATTGAAATATGAATATGAACATCTTCATTGAAGTCTCTCATTACTGCTCCACCAGAGAAACTTTAGTTACTTTTCGCAATGAATTCTCAAAATTGCGACTATTTTAGATTTCTCTACGTTCGATGCCACCTACGTACTCCCCTATTTTCTCCGGCATGATTTACAGTGGTATGCGACATACATAAGAGATCACCAACTCTCGTTCTTATTCGATCATTTGCTCCCCCCGGCTTATTAAGAATGTTTTACTGTAGGTAGTCAAATTATGCACGAACTTGGGTAGTCTTATATTGTTCGGTGTATTGATTGGTTAACAATTGCTTCATCGCCCGTGGTTTTGGTATCTTAAGGGCTATCACTGCCTTTTCCCTACCACTTGCATAACAATCTCGCCTTTTGCGAATTATATGGTAAAACACTAGGTAGTATATCCAATATCTACATACGTAGGTAGGTAACAATAAGATAGCGTCGAGGCCAAAAGATGCAGTGAGACGAATATAAAGATGGAGTGGAACCCGTGGGGGTTAGTAAGTTTTCTCTCTATGCCTTCAACCACGGTTGCCACATCGCGAAGTGAAAAATCGTCAATTAATTAGCTGCTACGTAATATCCAGCCGGTATTTCCCAATCGCGAGAACCCATATTCCGGTTGGGCGACCTAGGCAGACAAGTTCGCGCAGATAAGCTGCCAAGTTGGCCACCTGGAAGAGAAGAAGAGAAGAAGACAAGGCAAGGCATACGTAAGGTGTATGTAGGTCTTTACAATGTGTATATGCGAGTATGGTTGCACGATGACTATCATTTCATCAGGCCTACGCGTTGCGCAAAATTGAATTGGACGAAAGGGTATGTCTAAAAAGGGTCTGAGATAAAGGGGAATGGGGGAAGGGAAATGCGGATTGCGTTGAATTGCAAGTACATAAATGTGCAAGGCGACGATGTTGCAATTGAAGTACAGACCAGGTAAAGAAAGCGAAGTTGAGAGTCGAGGAAAGCGCCCTTTTCCTATTCAATCCTATTCAATCCGTGTTTTGCGGGGAAACAGCCAACCTTCGCACGATAATCAACCCATAATGATATCTGCAGTCGCACCAAGGTACTTTGTAGTTGCGCAAGAAAACACCGACCACCGAGCACCGACCAGTGATCACACAGAATCTACATAACCTTGCCTACATCTTATACATCAACTATATGTACTGCGTTGCACTATATTATATTAGGTATACTACATACTACATACTACATCTACTGCATTATACTACCTACATAACCTACTTATATAGAGATATGGGATGGTAGTGGTAGTGGCAGCATACGACCGAACCAGAAACCACCTGAGCTTTGCCCACACTATTAATGCAGGTCTCGCATATGCTCTGCGGACGACGGTCTTCGTCTGGTTGATATCATTGGTTGGTGTATACTTCCAGAGAGGATGGCAATTTATGAAAACCGTCCAAGGTGGCATCGAAATTACCACCTTTCTCACCATATCCCAATCATGTCTACCTTCTCCCCATGACGCCTTTTATTCCATTCGGGGTTCTTCGCCTGTATGTCTACCCCCCTTCTTTCGTCTCAACTCCTGCCGGTGCCGTGGTTGTTCGTGGGAAATGCCGCTCGCGAATGATACCAGACATATCAAGGAAAATTCAATAGGGTCCTCGCTTGCGTCGGCATTGTAGCTATGCTCACTACGGAATACTCAGCGTGAGTTTTCCAAGTCAGTCTATTCCCGTCCCAAGAGAAAGGATAGCCTTGACAATGGGTTTGTCTAGTTATAATGAGGAAATATATTCTTCTTAAAGCTCTTCGAGTTCTGACATCATCGTACTTATTCCAAAACTAGACTGCTACCGCAACATCAGTCGTACTAAGCGGGAAAATACTAGGATACCTAAGGTCATTTCATTTTATGGCTGTTCCTAACAACGTCCACTACACTACGGCCGGTACCTTACATCGGCCAACTAATCTACCAGTCATTTTCCGACCCTTCCGATGGATCACGGGGAAAGGCTGGAATGGGGGGACCCCTTCGTTATCATCATCATCACGGGTTACCCGAAAGAGACATTGATACTCTATTAGCTTGGCCTACCTGCCAGTGATCCAATTAGGACGGCAGCTGACATCTCCATGCTCTACATCATAGTGGTATACTGGTCGCTTGGAATGCACGATGCTCATGTCGTCAGCCCTCCGTAACATTTCCCCTTGCCCTCGGGGTCCAATATACAAGGAACACCAGCACTTATATACTTGCAAAGGCTTCAGCGCTACGGTAGATCTAGGAGTAGCGACGTAGCCTCTGGGGAAGATCCAGGACTCGGAGAGTATGATCATTGGGCGCATACCAAGGCAGGGAAGGGAATGGGGCTGTTAACTAACAAACCTCACACGCACCGCCTCCTTGGAGGTTGGAGTTAAAGCTTTGCAGAGAAAAAAAAAAGAAGTGTTACGCAGATCAGAACTCCAGCTCGTCGTGGCTATATTCCATCTGACAATCTCAGGCCAAAAGGCCCAATTGAGGATAGACAGTTCCCAGGCGAGCTTGACTGGCAACACCGCAGTGGTCTAGGATGGTCGATTTACGCCTAGCTGTGGTGAAGGCTCGTCTTGTGTGGTAGCCAAGGGCGGAACGCTAGGCCGAATGCGATTTGACCTGCATCGAAAGGCGGGGGAATCTCCTGCAGGTTCTTGTAGCGATTTGAGCAAGTTGGACCAAATGTTCCCAGTCGACAGCCACTGTTCGTCGTTGACTGTTGGCCTAAGAGCTGCAGAGTGCGAGGGTGAGCCACACTCTTTCTCGTCGTCTTTGGAATCGCCACCTGATAGCATGTATTAACCTTGTCGTGCTCCAACGCGACTTGCCTTTATGGAGACTAGAGTCTACATACATACCTGCATACCTAGGTATTCCTACGCACTCAGCAAAGGGTTATCGACAGCCGAATCCAAAGGCACTACATAGTATCATCTCTGAACGACCCTGGAACCTGCAGGTCTGCATAGTGTACTGCGTTAGTATCCTACAAGGCATACGATTTTCCACTCGGCCGACAAATCCCAACCCTTTTCAGGGACCGCGGCGATTTTTTGGGAAATGGTGCCAAGCAGGAGAGTTCTATAATAATAATTTATTATAACCCCGTCCAGGTCCATTGGCCTTGTCGATCCAGAGCGTAACGAGCGATAAGTACTAATATAGGAAACGTGCTAAGCATATCGCAAACGATACTCGAGTTGTCGTGCTACCCCATGCGTGTCTCGTAACGAAAAGAAGCCTGTTAGACGTCTGGGCGCGTTAATATCACTTATACTAGCACGTTGATCTTGACGATCTCGAAAGTGACAGAATCAGGGCCCACAATGAGGCTGTCGCTGGCTTGCCATGTTTAAAATGCAGAAACATGCTGCTTGATGAAAATATATTCGGTTGATTGAATATATACAAGCACAGAAGTATTAGTATCTACCTTGGAGATTATGCCCATCGCATATCCTAATTACGATGTAATTGATTGGACCTGGTTGAAATACACTTTACTGCGCAGTAGGCGCTCGCGCGAATGGTACTCAATACTGGAGGCCTGCAAGGCTTAGACGACGTCTCTCTGGGTACCATCGTATGCGCAAACATACATAGTAACGTATATTGTTACCCCGGGTGTATACAACTGTGTATTACCTGAATGGGAACATAACCCCCTCGTCTCATGAGTTCTTGATGTTCTTTGTACTCACTCTCACCCTGGCCCTGCTAGTCCCACGGGAGAATTCAACCTCGAAAGCTAGAATGGGGGGTCCGCGTGGGATGTCTGTCTTGCTTTGAGATGTCTATCTCTTCGATATGGATAGGCATGCGTCCAGAGCATGTGGAATATCTGAAACTAATAAAAGATAGGTGGATACGAAGAAGATAGGATAGATGGAGACATGGAGACATGGAGACATGCAGACGTACATACTGCGTAAAGTGTGAGTGGGACGTTCGCCCGCGATTCGGTCACATTAGTCTATCCACCCAGATCTGGTTTATCTCGGTAGACATCGTGCAATTCTGGGCAGACAAGACGAAGTCTCCATACTATGTACTTTAATCATTCTATCAGAAAGACCATTGTTTACCTGTCTACCTTTCAATTCGGTTACGCCAAGCCCAAGCTCTTGGTGTTGTTTGATTCTTAGCGTCTTGCTCATGATCATCGGGTCTTTTGTAGCTCCTAAACATAAGATGAAGTAAATTAATTAATTGCTTGTGTTGCTTACCCTCAGGCCATGGCGCAATATGAATGATGAATGTTGAACGATGTACATATGTGTATTATGAAGCTAAGAGCGAGTTTGTTTATTGCTTACCTACATAGTACGTAGAAGCTCAGTCTC